GGGCGAGGATATCGGAACCCCTGGGAATTAATAATTATGTCATCATTACATCATCGTTAACACAATCAAGATGACATCATCAGCAATGTGTCCTGATTGGTGGGGTGTCCTTATTTCAGGAGTGTCCTTAGAGAGGAGCTCTCTATCCAAGGCAATTATGAAACCATTACATCATAGTCTTACAGGAGTGGAAGAAGTGGGTGTGGCACTTCCGGAGCCACGCCTCTTACTGCTGTAGTACTCTGGATGAGTAGTCTCGAGGGCTCTGCGTCTGGCTGTGCGATAGTACTGAGGAAGAGAGGAAGGGGGAGAGGGGGAGAAGAGAAATGAACAGAAAACGATAACTTTACTAATTCGAGTGTTAAATCTCAAGAGCCTACATTTACTGCACATATTTCATTGGTTGTGTAGTGAGCACAATGTGGTGGTAACTGGTTTTTTTGATTATAAACACAGCAGGTGGACTTGCTTCAGTTGGCATGTTATAAATATTCTATTAGACGAGAGAAGCAGGAGAAGAAACGCATATTATATTATCTATATATTAGACGAGAAACAGACCTGTCCCAGAGTTTGCCAGTCTAGCAGGTCACTGAGTCGCTCAGTTCTGTTCCTCTGAATGATCCTGCTGACGTCGTGTCTGGCTACAGAACTCAAACATGTACTGGAGATGGGGGGAGGGAGGGGAGGAAGTGGGGGAGAAAGGGAGAGAGAGCAGGAGAACGGAGATTGGGAAAAAGAACTGTGCAGTCTTTCGTTACATTTCATATATATAATAGTTGTTAGGTGGTTGGAAGGGGAGAATGCATTACCTAATGTGCTACGCGTAAAAGGGTTAATTAAAAATTGGATTCCATGCTCCAATTATAGGCAAAAGTAATAGGCATGGTTAGTTTGTCTTTTTGTACTCCACGTGCCCACGAAAAATGCCAAAATCGTTAAAACCCTTATTGGCGGAATTTGACCACACCCATCCACAATCCAACATACAGTTGAGGGCATTCAAGTAAGGGTGGATTCCATACTCCAACTATAGTCAAAGTAATAGGGACGGTTGATTTGTCTTCTCTTACTATTACGTTCCCACAAAAATGCAAAACCGTTAACACCCCTTATTGGCGGCAATTTTACCGCACCCTGAATGCACCATCTACAATCCAGCTATAACAATCTTCTCTCAAACAAAGCATTTCTCTTACGTTTGCCAGCTGTTGGATGAAACGTCGGTCCACGATGTATATGCCGTACGTGGCGGGATCTGCGACGTGCTGTGCAATGAAACAGCCGAACCCAGAGAGATTGGTGGTGACAGACGGTATACCCATCACAGTACACTCCGCTGTGTGAGACAGAGAGAGAGAGAGAAATAGAAATTGGGTTTTGTTTCATATGAAAGGGGCTTTGTAATAGTGTTCTAGAGAGGGCTCTACTAACTGAGCTACTGAGGCAGCTCGGCTGGCTGGGCTGAATCACTCATACAGAGCAAGGCAGAGCACTCTGTGTTCTAGAGAGGGCTCTACCAACTGAGCTACTGAGGCAGCTCAGCTGGCTGGGCTGAATCACTCATACAGAGCACTCTGTGTTCTAGAGAGGGCTCTACCAACTGAGCTACTGAGGCAGCTCAGCTGGCTGGGCTGAATCACTCATACAGAGCACTCTGTGTTCTAGAGAGGGCTCCACCAACTGAGGCAAGCCACTCTGTACCAGGAGTATATCCCCACGGTTCGTAGTAAGACGGGAAGACGCCAAGATGGCAGCCGCGAACAAATTCTTCGTAGTCCATCTTGAAGAGGGGATTTGTGGCAGAGAGGAACTCTGGATGGAAGATTATCTGTAAGAGAGAAGAGAGAAGAGAGAAGAGAGAAAACAGAATGAGAGAAAAGATCTTTTATATTATTATTATAATGAATAAGCAATTGTGGGGCAGATAATCATAATGCACCTTAACCCTCTCCACACACCAAATTTAACCCTCTTCACACACCCTCACTAAACACCAAAACACAACCACACTAAACATTTTAACCCCTTTCACACAACACTTTAACCCTCTTCCCACACACCGCACTTAATAACTTTAACCCTCTATGCACACACCGCGTACCTTAACCCTATCCTCCCTGCGATTGAAGAGCTGTATTCTCCTAATGTTGCACAGCACGGGGTCACAATGATCATCAATAACATTATGGGTACAGATCGGAGGCAATCCCCCTTTCTGAGCAGCAAAGATACACCTACAAAACAATTACCAGAGGTCACTGCTGCTCGTCACCCTCATCATCTCCAATCTCACTAGGAGGTCGCGATGGAGGCTCACTCAGGGGACGAGGATATCGGAACCCCTGGGAATCAATAATGATGTCATCATTAACACAAATCAAGACGACATCATCAATAATGTGTCCTGATTGGTGAGGCGTCCTTATTTCAGGAGTGTCCTTTGAGAGGAGCTCTATCCAAGCAATTATGAAACCATTACATCATAGTCTTACAGGAGTGGAAGAAGTTGGCGTGGCACTTCCGGAGCCACGCCTCTTACTACTGTAGTGCTCTGGGTGAGTGTAGACTCTCGAGGGCTCTGCGTCTGGATGTGAGGGGGAGAGGGGGAGAAGAGAAGCAAACGAGAAAGTTCACTATTATACATAGAAAGGAGAAATGTGACATTACATAATGGCTATTAAATTTAGATATGTTACTAAAGATAGAACTAAGCGATAGGGCCTAGTGTGCAAGATTGCAACAGTTTCTAAAATTTATACATTATATATACTTTACGAAATTTTTACTCACCGAAGATACGTCTACTGGCACTGACGGTCTGAATCCAATTTGGGTTGACAACCAAACCACTTAAAAATCTGCGTGACTTTCCCTCCTTCTGTCTTGTGAATACTAAACATACTGCCACAGTCCCTTTAACAATTGAACCCCCTCTAATCCACACACAATAAAGTGGTGAGATGTCCTTATTTCATTACAAAAAATGTATGTTTTTATCATTAAATACCTCTCTCTCGGCTCCAACGTTCAATCAATTGCCTCACTTTACCATTTCCTCCCTCCCTCTCTTCCCCTCTCTCCTTCTTCCTAATACCATCTCCATTATCTCAGATTGGTCGTACAGTTCAGGGTTTGTTAGTGGGGAAATGATGTCCACCCACCTCCCTCCTCCTGGACCAACCTCTCAGATCCTCATGTGTGGACCTCCACCCATGACCAAGTTTGCCTGTCTCCCCAACCTAGAGAAACTGGGCTTTAGTGAAGACATGTATGTCCCCTTCTAAGACAAAGGGCTGTTTTCTGCATTATGTATACATTTTGGGCTATAGAGTGACGTCTACACTATCACACGTACAGATAATATGCATTTCCTTTATCTATGTTCTATATACTGTGCAGCTAGCTATAGCTAGCTCCCGTGTTGTAGTTGTTGCGTTTGCGCATGCGTCGAGGACTATATAGGAGCTGGCAGGTGGGATCTCCCCTGGGAGTATAGTATAATACGAGAGGCTATATAGCTTCGTTTAGCGCCCCGCCCTGGGCTCCCGACGAACTCTCATGGCTGCTATAGCCGAAAACGTGAAGAGCCAAAACCGCGGCGGATACGACTGCGAGTTCGTTACGCCACCGCCCGATGTGTTTCAGATCGAGTGTCCGATTTGCCTGCAAATCCCGAAAGAACCGTGCCTCATCAGTTGTCCCTGCGGAAAGGAGTTTTGCCGCGAATGCATCGAGCGAATGAAGGAAGACAACAAGCCGTGTCCGCGGTGTAACCTGTCTGATTTTACGTTCTTACGTCACCACGGGTCAGAAAGATATCTGAAGGCACAAGAGGTGTCGTGCTCACACAAGAAAGATGGATGTAAATGGAGGGGAAACTTGGAGAATACGAACAACACCTGAATCTAAATCCATCTCAGAGAAACCAGCTGATTGGGTGTCACTTTGTGGAGATAGAGTGTGAGCATGTGTGTGGGGAGTGGTTCCAGCGTCGCAACATCGCTTCCCACCAAAAGTGGGGCGTGTCCCAAGCGACCTTACTCCTGTGAACACTGCCACGAATATGAATCCACTTTGAAATGTTACTAAAAATCATTATTCTCTGTGTGCAAGTATCCTGTTACCTGCCCTAACAAATGTCAAGACGCTCCCTTTGAAAGCACAAAATGTGAATAACCACGTGAAAGATGAATGTCCCCTCACGGAAATCAGCTGCCCACTCCACTACTGGTTGTGAGGTGAGACTTCCTCGCAAAGACATGCCTGAGCACATGGCAGACACTGTCACACATCTGACACTGCTGGCTACCGTTACACAGAGCCTCTTCAAGAGAGAATCAGGAACAGAAGAGAGAAGTGAAATACTCAGACGACAGAAACACACACCAATGAAGCTCATGGTGGAGTATTCCCGAGTGATTTCCCCGTGACGTATGTACAAGGACAAGGAAAACATTTATCGTTCCTTTTACACCCACTCATCTGGCTACAAATGCGCATTGTTTAAATCCGAATGGTGGTGCTGGACAAGGGTAAAGGACTCATGTATCATTACGTCACACAGCTAAGTTTGCGAGGTCCATACGATGACACTGAACAATGGCCGTTCAGAGGAGAGATAACGTCCAGATAGTCAACAGGCGTGGAGAACACACAGCCACGGTTGATGAGGACATCGCCCGTACACTGATAAGACACCAGATACCAGTGGGTTGCCAAAGTAGAGCTAGAGTGACAACACACAGACAAATCCGGGTGGGGATGAGACAACAATTTCTTGCTCACACTGATCTGGAGTACAATACTACAAAGACAACCAATACTTGAAAGACGGCATCATCATAGTCGGAGTTGTTAAAGTTGAATAATCCCCAATGAGTGTTTAATTTTAGGGCTTTTCTCTGCATAGATGACTATAATTGCACATACTATATACAGTACCACCAATAGTGTGGTTGGCGTTATGATCAATGGTGCACTGTGTCTAGCAAAAGCGCTAGTATATTGGTCAACTTCCATTAATTCTTACAAAAAATACCACACACTCAGTAACTCTTTACTGTAAACAGCACAGGGAAGTAGAGTCCCCTGACATGATGTGTTGTAATGGTCACACAGACTAGACGTCACTGCTGCTCGTCATCCGCATCAGTCAGAAATGCCCCTTGGAGAGGGTTTCCACTGTACAGTCAGCGACACTTCTGATTTCAAGTTTTGTTTTCAGCTCAAACATTAGTTCAATATAGATATTAGCTTCTCCTCTCTTTTACTCTCATCTTCCCCGCTCCCTCCTTCTTCCAATTTATACACTCTATTATCTCAGAGTGGACACTGTCACACATCTGACACTGCAGGCTATAACCGTACACAGATGCCTCTCAGAGATAATCATGCGCTACAACAGACCACTGAGGCACCTCAAGAACGAACTGTTCGACAGCCACTCACTGAGGACGGCTCAAAGTAAAGAACTGCGACAGGACCACTGAGGACTCACGAAGCGAATCACGAACTGCGAAAACACACATGAAGTTGCTGGAAGACAAACAGAATGCTACAGCGAAAGAGTTGACATTACTCAGAGAAAGAACAGCACCACCAAATGAAGCTCATCGAGTGGGGTATTGCCCTGTTGATTTCCGCGTGAAGTATGACAAGACAAGGGGAAAATTTATTTACGTTCCTTTTACCACACCCACTCATCTGGCTACCAAATGCGCCTTCAGTCTTCATCCGAATGGGTACGTGGAAATGTGGTAAATGAACTCATGTCTACATTATACACCCAGCTAATGCGAGGTGCATACGACGTACCACCTGAAATGGCCGTTCCAGAGGAGAGATAACGTCCCGATAGTCAACAAGGCTGAGACACAGCCACTCAAGTGGGACCATCGCCTACACTGATAAGACACCAGACCTAGTGCGTAGAGTGACAGACACGAGACAGCTCTAGGGAGGTGAAACACATTCCTAGCTCACCCTGATGCTGGAGTACAATGCTGCAAGGACAAACCCAATACTGAAAGACACGGCATCACGTAGTCAGAGTTGTGTGTGAAGTATAATCGTGCACCCCGCAATGAGCATTTTAGGGCTTGGCACATGGGTGACTGCGATACTAGCAGAAAGCGCTTATTCTAATAATCGTTCACTTCCATTATTCTTAAACAAAAAATACCACACTCAGTTAAAACTCTTTATAATTCGGCATGATGTGACGTATAAAGCAGCCAGAGGGGAGTAGAGTCACATGATGGTCACATGGATGATGTAATGGTCACAATGACAGAGGGTCACTGCTGATCGTCATCCTCATCATCTCCAATCTCACTAGGAGGTCGCGACGGAGGCTCACTCAGTGGACGAGGATATCGGAACCCCTGGGAATCAATAATGATGTCATCATTACATCATCATTAACAAAATCAAGACATCATCGATAACATGTCCTGATTGGTGATGTGTCCTTATTTCAGGAGTGTCCTTAGAGAGGAGCTCTATCCAAGGCAATTATGAAACCATTACATCATAGTCTTACAGGAGTGGAAGAAGTGGGCGTGGCACTTCCGGAGCCGCGCCTCTCACTGCTGTAGTACTCTGGATGAGTAGTCTCAAGGGCTCTGCGTCTGGCTGTGCGATAGTACTGAGGGAGGGAGGGGGAGAAGAGAAGCAAACGAGAAAGTTCACTGTTATTGTAAGGAGGAATGTGACATTACATAATGGCTATTTAGATAGGGCCTAGTGTGCAAGATTGCAACAGTTTCTAAAGTTTAGAACCCCTCTAATCCACACACCAGAAAGTGGTGAGATGTCCTTATTTCATTACGAAAAAATTTTTGTATATAGAAAGCTTCTAGCAGATGAATGCGAGTGTCAAATCTCAGAGCCTACATTTACTGCACACATTTTATTGGTTGTGTAGTGAGCACAATAATATAATCGGCGACGTGCTGTGCAATGAAACAGCCGAACCCGGAGAGATTTGTGGTGACAGACGGTATACCCATCACAGTACACTCCGCTGTGCGAGACAGAGAGAGGGAGAGAGAGAGAGAGAGAGAGAGAGAGAGAGAGAGAAATAGAAATTGGGTTTTGTTTCATATGAAAGGGGCTTTGTAATAGTGTTCTAGAGAGGGCTCCACCAACTGAGCTACTGAGGCAGCTCAGCTGGCTGGGCCGAATCACTCATGCAGAGCAAGGCAGAGCACTCTGTGTTCTAGAGAGGGCTCTACCAACTGAGCTACTGAGGCAGCTCAGCTGGCTGGGCCGAATCACTCATACAGAGTAAGGCAGAGCACTCTGTGTTCTAGAGAGGGCTCCACCAACTGAGGCAAGCCACTCTGTACCAGGAGTGTATCCCCATGGTTCATATAAGACGGGAAGACGCCAAGATGGCAGCCGCGAACAAATTCTTCGTAGTCCATCTTGAAGAGGGGGTTTGTGGCAGAGAGGAACTCTGGATGGAAGATTATCTGTAGGTGAGAAGAGATAAACAAAAGAATGAGAATATATATTATTATATTATTTATAATGAGTAGCATGTGGGGCAGATAATCATAATGCACGTAACCCTCTCCACACACCCCAAATTTAACCCTCTTCACACACAAAACAACAACACACTAAACATTATTAACCCCTTTCAACACAACACTTTAACCCTCTTCCCACACACCGCACTTAATAACTTTAACCCTCTATGTACACCTGCGTACCTTAACCCTATCCTCCCTGCGATTGAAGAGCTGTATTCTCCTAATGTTGCACAGCACGGGGTCGCAATGATCATCAATACATTATGGGTACAGATCGGAGGCAACCCCCCTTTCTGAGCAGCAAAGATACACCTACAAAACAATTACCAGAGGTCACTGCTGCTCGTCACCTCATCATCTCCAATCTCACTAGGAGGGTCGCGATGGAGGCCTCACTCAGGGACGAGGATATCGGAACCCCTGGGAATCATATGATGTCATCATTAACACAATCAAGATGACATCATCAATAATGTGTCCTGATTGGTGAGGTGTCCTTAGAGAGGAGCTCTATCCAAGACAATTATGAAACCATTACATCACAGTCTTACAGGAATGGAAGAAGTGGGCGTGGCACTTCCGGAGCCACACCTCTTACTGCTGTAGTATATACTATGGATGAGTAGTCTCGAGGGCGTTGCATCTGGCTGTGAGGGGGAGGGGGGGAGGAGAAGAGAAGCAAACGAGAAAGTTCAATATGATGGAGAATGTGCATTACATAATGGCTATTAAATTTAGATAGTTACTAAAGATAGAACTAAGCGGTAGGGCCTAGTGTGCAAGATTGCAACAGTTTCTAAATTTAGACCTTATATTTTACTGCCACAATTGAACCCCTCTAATCCAGACACAAAAAAGTGGTGAGATGTCCTATTTCATTACAAAAGGTTTGTTTTGTCCTATATATAACACTCTATCTCAGATTGGTCGTACAGTTCAGGTTTGTTAGTGGGGAAATGATGTCCACCCACTCCCTCCTGGACCGACCTCTCAGATTAAGTTTGCCTGTTCCCCAACTAGAGAAACTGGGCTTAGTGAAGACATGATGTCCCCTTCTAAGACCAAGGGCTGTTTTCTGCATTATGTATACATTTTGGGCTATAAACTGGTGTATAATACATGCAGGAGCGCTCTTGCGCATGCGTGTCGAAGACTACTTACTGATGAGTGTGACCAGAGAAAGCGCGTATAAATAAGAATACTGAGTTCCTGTGGCTCATGGCATGGCAGCTCGCGCTAGAGCCGCCGCGTAAAGAGCAGAATCCGTGGCGGATACTGACGTGAGTTCGTTACGCACCGCCCGATGTTTTTCAGATCGAGTGTCCGATTTTCTGCAAATCCCGAAAGAACCGGCGTCATCAGTTCTCCCTGCGGAAGGAGTTTTGCCGCGAATGCATCGAGCGAATAAAGGAAGACAACAAGCCGTGTCCCCTGTGTAACTGTCTGATTTTAACTTCTTACGTCACCACGGTCAGAAAGATATCTGAAGGCACAAGAGGTGTCGTGCTCACACAAGAAGGACGGCTGTAAATGGACGGGGAAACTTGGAGAATACGAACAGCACCTGAATAAAGATCCATCTCCTGAGAACCAGCTGACTGGGTGTCAGTTTGTGGAGATAGAGTGTGAGCATGTGTGTGGGGAGTGGTTCCAGCGTCGCTACATCACTTCCCACAAAAAGAGGGTGTGTCCCAAGCGACCTTACTCCTGTAAACACTGCCATGAATATGAATCCACTTTTGAAGATGTTACCAAAAACCATTATCCTCAGTGTGTCAAGTATCCTGTTGCCTGCCCTATCAAATGTCGAGACGCTCCCTTTGAACGGCAGAATGTGAAGAACCACGTGAAAGACGAATGTCCCCTCACGGAAATCGACTGCCCACTCCACTCGCTGGTTGTGAGGTGAGACTGCCTCGCAAAGACATGCCTGAGCACATGACAGACACTGTCACACATCTGACTCTGCTGGCTACCGTTACACAGAGCCTCCTGAAAGAGAATCAGGAACTGCGTCAGACCACTGAGGACCTCAAGAAAGAGAATCAGGGGCTGCAACAGACGACTGAGGACCTCAAGAAAATGCAACAAGCATGAGTTACTCGAATTGAAACAAAACGCTACTGATAAAGTAGTTGAAGTTCTCAGAGTCCAAATGAAGCTTATGGTTGGGCTATTCCCTATTGATTTCCACGTGAACTATGACAAGGACAAGGAAATAAATTTACCTTCCTTTTACACCCACTCGTCTGGCTACCAAATGTGCATTAACTTTTGTCCGAATGGGTGTGGAAAGGGTAAAGGAACTCATGTATCATTATTCACACAGCTAATGCAGGGTGCATACGACGACCTCCTGAAATGGCCGTTCAGAGGAGAGATAACAGTCCAGATAGTCAACCAGGCTGGAGACCACAGGCATGTCCAGATGACAATCCCATACAATGATAAGACACCAGATACCTCTGCTGGTAGAGTGACCGACAAGGAGAGTGCTGTGGGACAGGGGTTTCATCTGTTCCTAGCTCACAAGAAACTGGAGTACAATGCTGCAAAGAAAACCCAATACTTGAAAGACGGCATCATCATAGTCAGAGTTGTTAAAGTTATAATCACCCAATGAGTTGTTGCTTTTCTCTGCATAGATGACTATATACATGTATTATATAATTGCACATTTATGCTGTATTGCTTATTATAATTATAGCACCATTGTGGTTGC